GCGGGACAAGATGGGGGAGTGCTGGTGTGGGCGACTAGACACTCATGTGTGTACAGTGTGCAAAATAGCAAAATAGAAATATCTAAACATAAAATATCTAAAACAAATTAATTGTTATTGCACAATTGCACAAAATCAACATGAACTAATATAAAATATATAAACGTTTAACATGTGCAGCGTTTCTATTTAGGCGTGTTTGCATGTTTGCAGCGTTGAGCAATGCAGTGCTGAAATTTGCGTGCTCACGAATCCTCTCATTATAACACACGAATTGTAGACATTATGAAAAATTCATTATGCATATATTTATTGTGTTATAATAGAGATTTGTGAGATTGCGATGAACTGAGATGTCTTTTAGAGCTTACAAATGCAGCACTCCTTGCTGGCATTCTGCCATGCCAAACCATGCACGCAGCAGCCATTGCTTTAGTTAAAAATAACAGTGTTCTGTGAATGTTGATGCTTTAATAACAAATATTTATCGGGAGCGTGTATGCTGGGATTTCATAAATTTCATGGAGAAAAAAGTAACGTAACTAGTAATGTAACTAATTACTAATTAATTTTGAAATAAAGTAATCAGAAAAGTAACTTGATTACTTTTAAAAGGAGTAATCAGTAATCAGTAATTTGATTACATTTTCAGAGTAACTTGCCCAACACTGGTCATGTTCTCATTGCAGGAAGGTGACCATCTCAGAGTTGCGGGCCAAGCTCCGTTACCTCAAATGGGGCGGAGCTCCATTGCCTTTAACTCAATCTAGTTCTCGTCATGGCCGCAGTCAGGCGGGGGCTACTTCAGGCAGTAGCACGGGTGGTCTGAGGGTAACAGTGATGGCAAACCCTCCAGGGAACCAACTCTCGGGGTACCATCGCTCGTCTTGCACTCTGCAACCAGTTGAGCTGCCAAAGGAACGTGTTGGGCCCTCTACAAGGAGCGTACCAGCAGTATCCTTCGGCGCTCCTCCCGACGATCGGATGTCAATCGCTGCATCGGAGGGTGAGCTGGAGCTTTCTGGAGAGGAAGATTCGACTGCGCTGCTGCCCTCCGGGACTGTAGCAATGCCTGAATCGGATCCGGAAATGATGGCTATGCTTTCCCGGGCCGCCGTGAGGGTAGGGCTCGAGTGGAGACCTCCATCATGTCTCTAGCCCTCAAGGTTGGACGATTGGTTCTTCGGGGGGGCCCGCTCTCCCAGAGTCCCGCCCCGGTGCCATTCTTCCCGGAGGTACATGAGGGGCTTACCAGGCCGAGGATGGTACCTTGGTGCTAGAGGGTATACGGGGGTCCCACTGGTGGAAAGGTCGGTTTGCGATTCAGTCGTGTCTTCCCGGGTCTGTAGGTACTCGTCTGGTCTGTCCGGCAATGCTTATGCGGCCTGTGTACCAGCAGTATCCTTGGGCGCTCCGCCCGACGATCGGATGTCAATCGCTGCATCGGAGGGTGAGCTGGAGCTTTCTGGAGAGGAAGATTCGACTGCGCTGCTGCCCTCCGGGACTGTAGCAATGCCTGAATCGGATCCGGAAATGATGGCTATGCTTTCCCGGGCCGCCGTGAGGGTAGGGCTCGAGTGGAGACCTCCATCATGTCTCTAGCCCTCAAGGTTGGACGATTGGTTCTTCGGGGGGGCCCGCTCTCCCAGAGTCCCGCCCCGGTGCCATTCTTCCCGGAGGTACATGAGGGGCTTACCAGGCCGAGGATGGCACCTTGGTGCTAGAGGGTATACGGGGGTCCCACTGGTGGAAAGGTCGGTTTGCGATTCAGTCGTGTCTTCCCGGGTCTGTAGGTACTCGTCTGGTCTGTCCGGCAATGCTTATGCGGCCTGTGGAGAAGCTGCCTTCACCTTACACACTACGGCGTTACTGCAGGTTCTTCAGGCTAAAGCACTGAGGGACCTGCACGAGGGTGGTCACGATCCGGACGTTCTGAAAGAGCTCCGAACTGCAACTGACCTCGCGCTCTGAACGACGAAGGTCACTGCGAGTACTCTGGGTTTTGCGATGTCCACGCTTGTGGTCCAGGAGCATTACCTCTGGCTGTGTCTGGCAGACATGAGGGATGCCGACAAGTTCGGTTCCTCAAGGTCCCTGTGTCCCAGACCGGCCTCTTCAGCGACGCAGTCGAGAACATGGCCCAGCAGTTCTCTGCTGCACAGGAGCAGATTGAGGCAATCCGACACATCCTGCCCCGGCGGGCAGCTGCTGCCTCCACCATCTTGTTTCAAAAAATCTCTACAGAAGTGCAGTTTTCTCTGTCTCTGGGTCTCAAGAGGACATGGAGAGTCCCGGACAGACCAACACCGGACCACACTCATCCTCCTCTCTCGCCAGCAGGCAGCAGCGGGCGGTTCAAGAGCGTCATCAAAGGCCCTACTCATGCACCCTCTGCCAAACCATGGGACCAGGTAAGCGTTGCACAGCACACTCAGACCTCTCTTTGGTCCGCTCATGGACCGGGTCCCTGCTTTCCACCTCGCTGCCCCACTGCGGATACATCGGCAGTCCCGCTGGTCCAGCTTGTACGGTGTCTGGGTGCCTGGCTACCCAACCCATCTCGCTGGCTCCTGTGGACAATCAGACTCAGCAATGCGATTCAGTTCGTCTGGCGTCCCCCCAAGTTCAGCGGCATCCACTTCACATCAGTGAAGGTGGCCGATGCTCCTGTCTTGCATGTGGAGATCGCAGTCCTACTGGCAGAGGGTGCGATAGAGCCAGTCCCTGCAGCCGATATGAAGACGGAGTTTTACAACCCCTACTTCATTGTACCCAAGAAAGGCGGTAGGTTACGACCGATCTTGGAGGTAGCTGACACCATCCCTTCGGCGAGACACGTTTACGCCTTGAAGTGGAACCTGTTTGTCGAGTGGTGTTCTTCTCATCGAGAAGACCCCCGAAGATGCCCGATCAGAGTCGTGCTGTCCTTTTTGCAGTAGGGGTTGGAGCGAAGGCTGTCTCCCTCCACCCTTAAAGTCTATGTTGCTGCGATTGCTGCTAACCATGACCCAGTGGAAGGGAAGTCGGTAGGGAAGCATGACCTGGTCATCAGGTTCCTTAGGGGGGCCAGAAGGTTAAATTCTCCCCTGCCCCCCTCTATACCCTCTTGGGACCTGTCTCTAGTGCTGGCCCATTTGAGCCTTTGCAGTCAGTTGAGCTGAAGTTTCTATCAATGAAAACTCTGCTCCTGCTTGCACTGGCCTCCATCAAGAGGGTAGGGGACCTGCACACATTCTCAGTCGACGAATCGTGCCTAGAGTTTGGGCCAGCTGACTCCCAGGTAATCCTGAGGCCCTGGCCCTGGCCCGGCTATGTGACCAAGGTTCCCACTACACCCTTCAGGGATCAGGTGGTGAGCCTGCAAGCGCTGCCCCCAGAGGAGGCAGACCCAGCCCTAGCTTTACTTTGTCCCGTCCGAGCCTTAAGATGGTACGTAGACCGGACGCAAAGCTTCAGGACCTCAGATCAGCTCTTTGTCTGTTACGGAGGCTGGCAGAAGGGGAATGGCGTCTCCAAGCAGAGGATGGCCCACTGGGGAGTGGATGCCATCACCCTGGATTATCAGGCACAGGGTGTGCCCTGCCCGCTCAGGGTGCGAGCGCACTCTACTAGAAGTGTTGCAACCTCCTGGGTGCTGGCTCGTGGCGTCTCGCTGACAGATATTTGTAGAGCTGCGAGCTCGGTGACCCCCAACACATTCTCTAGATTCTATAGCCTTTGTGTGGAGCCGGTATCCTCCTGTGTTCTCACCTCAAATGGGTAGAAGCACTGAGAGGCCCCAGTTTAGTGTTGGCTTGCTAAAACCGCTCCAGAGAGTCCGTACTGTAGACCCTGTTGAGCTCCTCCATCCTCTCGGCAGCCAGACGTGGCAGAACGTCTGGCGTCAGGCCCTCACTCGATGAATCCGTAAGAACCGGTAGAGGGCTGGGTTTCATATGTAGAGACCTAAGTGGATCCCATATGTGGAAAGTCCACAGTATAGCCTCAGAGCCCGTGTTTCCATTTTCCAAGAGAGTTACAATCACCTCTAATCTTCCATATGCACCTAAACGGTTGTTCATATGTGTAAGTGCTTCCGAAACTCCTTCGGGAAGGATGGGGCTTCTGCAACATTCCTGTTCCAAGTGGAACAGGTACGTTTTCCTATCTCACTGAGTGGGTAGTGCTACGACAACAGTGACTGGCCTTCTTGTTGCGAGCCCCGACCTACGCCGAAAAGGGGGCGCAGGAGGCTCGCACAGGACACTGGAAGGGGCAGCATCCATGGCGTTTTGGTAGGGATCCCAATTCGTCGGTCATTACCGGTGAGCCGAGCTCCCCCTAGCCCCCCGTAGTTCGCACTCTAGTCTATATTATTTTTAACAACTAGTCTTGTTATCAGTGATGGGGAAAGTTACTTTTAAAAGTAATGCATTACAATATTGCATTACTCCCTGAAAAAGTAACTAATTACGTTACTAAGTTACTTTTTATGGAAAGTAAGTGTTACGTTACTTTTGAGTTACTTTTTAAATCTGGGCAGTGCTTGCTTGTTTGTTTTTAATATAAAAAGTTCTTCTTTTACAAATGTAGAATCAGAAGAAAGTTCAACACTACTCAGCAAAAACAAAACTGAAACACAAATGTGTCATTTATGCTTAATAATATGGTTAAATTGGATCATCGAAGGTCCGAAGCCAAATCATTGGTTAATAAAATGGGATTAAATACATAAGTGATATTTGTCTATTTAACATATTTAATTATTGCAGGTTTGTATAATATTCTGAGTTTACATTTTGAGGAATACTGAATCTATTTTTGTGCAGGTGAGATGAGTACATACATGTTCATATTTCGTCTAGAACTACAGTAATATCATGTTCACACAGCGCACACCTCCTTAGTTCTGCAGAAACGGCATACTTCAGTTTTAAATGCGGCATAAATAGAAACCAGGCAATTAACTAAATGTCTAGAAAATGTAATAAAGTCAGATTTACATGGTAGACTTTAAGATACTAAACAAACTTACGCAATAATGAAAGGAGTCCAAGGAAGAGCAGGCCGATTCCAGCTGGTCCAAACCTGGATCCCTTCTTAAACGCTCCTGATGCTCCATTTGGTCCTGCTCGGGCACAAGCTCCCTGGTCGTTACAGGTGCACACATCCACCTGAATTTTCTGAGGTTCTGGACATGACAACCCCTGCTGGTCCTTGACGTCCACCATCAGCTCATATTCTCCTGGCCACAGCTTTTCATTTGTTCTGAAGATGGCAGTGGTATCTGATAGGAAGAAAAACAGAAGATCTCAACCACAAAGTCAGTAGTGGCAGAATGTGTGCGTTGTGGTAGTTTTGTGTATGCGCGACAAAGACTGACATGGAAGAGAAGAAATCCTTGAATAAAGTGGTTATTTTTGTTTTCTTTTTGCACAAAAAGTATTCTCGTAGCTTTGTAAAATTACGGTTGAGCCACTGATGTCACAAATACTATTTTTATTTTTTCTGGGCCTTGAACATGGTAGTTGCGCTACTGTCTATGCAGGGTCAGAAAGCTCTTGGATTTGATCAAAAATATCTTAATTTGTGTTCTGAAGATAAACGAAGGTCTTGCGGGGTTTGAAATGACAACAGATCTCTGACTAGTACTTCACATGTTTGACTTCTTACAATAGATAGCTTTTAACATGTGGGCTAACGTCCCCCAGTGACACAAGGAGGTACTGCGGCAGTATTTTTCTATAAATATTCATGGAATATTTTTAATTCGATTTTACTTCAATGCAATTTTTAAATTTTATGTCAGTGAAGTATTGTTGTGGGTCAAAAAATAAATTGGCAACATCTGGCATACCGTTTAAATGCTCGACTGTCCATTTCCCCTTAGTTCCTTCTGGGACAACATTGAAGGTGAATGGAGCTCCATTGGGAGGTGCATCCTCATCCACTGCAGTGACTAAGACGGCATCCTTGTCAGTACAGAGTGTCTTGACTTTGCTTGTCAAAGTTGGGCAGTGGTCATTAAAATCCTCTACTTGGATGGCAATGGTGCCTGTTGCCGTCTTTGAAGGCAAGTCTATTAAGAGAAAAGGAAAAACATATTAAAAAAATATTATAATAATTATATTAAAAATATAAAAAAATATATCTATATATAAAAAATATATTAAAAAATTTTTTTTTTTGCATTCAACACATGAATATAAATTTGAGACAAATGTTATAATACTGTAATATATAATAAAAACGAACGTGCCGAAAAGCAAACTAAAAGAAAGCTTTCGGTCTACTTTCCCTTAAAAGGTTTTTAAAAAGTACTAAAAAAATTTAAAAAGAAAGAACAATATATAAAAAGAGAATGCAATGTAAACGAATGGATCAAATTAATTAAATCAAATAATTGTTTACATCATAACTTGCAGATGGTTAAGCATCCAAACATTGACCCAGTTTTCAGTAACTACTGTTGATCAATGTGAAGATCTTCAGGGCAGGTTATGTCCCTGCAATATCCATTGTATTACACTATGTGGCACACTGGAAGTATGATTGGTCTATAAGTTAATTAAGTATATTATCATATATTATGGCAGGGAGTCATAACCTGGCAACATCTGGAAACAGTTCAAAAATGAGAAAAAAAATAGAACAGTTGGATAAATAAAACAACAAAAACTTCAACAAAGAAAGGTTTTCCGTTTTCCCTAGAACCACTGTTATTTTAGTATGATTTATACTATTATATTTTTGTTAATATTTCGAATTAGATTTTACTTTTATATTTTATGTTTTCAATTTGATTTTAATGTCTTAGTGATTTTGTTATGTTTTTGTCATTTTTAATTATTTATTTGTTTATTTTTAATAATGTCTTAAATAGTTTTTAGTTTCAGTTATTTTAGTACTTAAACTAAATAAAAATGAGAAATGTTGCCTTGGCAACTAGCTGAAATAAAATAAAATAGATTTAAGTTATAGTTATATTGTTGGTAACCAAAAAGTTGCTGGTAGCCATTGGCGTCCACTGTATGGAAAGAAAAGACTATGGAAGTCAATGGTTACCAGCAACTGATTGGTTACCAATGTTCTTCAAAATATCTTCTTTTGTGTTCAACAGAACAAACTTCTACAGGTTTGGAACAACTTGAGGGTGAGTAAATGATGACAGAATTTTAATTTTTGTGTTAACTATCCCTTTAATGTTTTATTTAGGATAGGCTTTTGGTTAATAACCCTGCAGAGAACTTGCCTTGAGTTATGCTGTAAATCTGGGCATAGTAAGTGCCGTTAACTAGATACTTGGACTCGCGGTCAGGAGCCTTGTTCATTTTAATGGCTCCAGTTGTCTCATCGATGGTCAGCCAGTTATCTGGGTCAAATCCTTTAACATACCTGTAAGAAAAGGGAACATATTTAGCTCAAGCTCAGTTCTCATTGTTTTCTATGTCCTCTTAATCGTTGACAGAACTATTTCTATGTATACGTACTTTACGTTGGTAGCTTCCTTTCCTGTGTCTGTATCAATGGCGGGGTATCTTGCGATGACCTCATTGCTGCTAAAAGTCTTTCCTTCTGAGATGGGGATGGCTTTTGTTAGGGGCATGAACCTGGGTCCTTCAGGCTGGTTTTTCACCTTGACGTTCACATTGTATATCTGACCCCCTGACATTGACCATGAACCGCCTGAACTGCCACTACCTCCACCGCCAGCTCCACCGTCAGCTCCACCACCAGCTTCACCGCCTCCTCCTGTGCCACCACCGCTGCCCCCGAAGTTCATATTCATTCCTTGTCCTCCTCCACTCACAGAGGAGTGGAATGGAACATTGTTTATAACACCAATGCCAAGGTTCAGGTCTTTGACATCCTCATAATCGACAGCCTGCAGGGAAAACAGACATGAGATAATTTTTTCAAGCAAATGACTGAGAGTATAATCTGCTTCAGAACAGCTCCATGCTATAACTATCCCTGTCAAAAGTACCAGTACTTTTAAAGTAAGTTGATACTGTAACAATACTAGCCTTTCTTCTGTATCAGTATAACCAAGTACCCATTACATTTATCACCCGAGTGCTGTCTGACTAACATGTTTTTGATGGTGAAAAAATGCACATTTCTGCCCATCTTGTATTAATGTAAACACAGTATATTATGTCTCCTATGAATGTTAATAGAATCCTTTTTGATGAAAAATCTAAGTATATTACTATTCAAAATTTTGGGGTCAGTATTTATTTTAATTAACACTTTTATTCAGCAAGGACACATTTAAAAAAAAAGAGAAACTGCCATGTTATTCCTTTATTATCGACTGCTTACTTGAATAATTACTTAAAATAATTATTTGTTTACTTAATTGATAAATAATTTCAATATGTTAATATTTATATGAAAAATGACCTATTATAGTAATAATTCATTTTTAATGATTAATAGCAATATTGGTATGAAAACTGACATTTTGCTATCATAAAAAAACCTACTCATACCAGAAATTATGAAAGAAATAAGCAACAAATATCATTGCACACCTTGTCAAGCATAATGACTGCCTCATTGGTCTTTGGGTCCGTGTGAATGCTGAAGTGTCCAGCCTCATTGCCTGATGCAATAAAGCACTTAGACACCCAGTTGTCCGTGTCCTTAAGATCCAGGTCGCTTGCTTTGAGTCTCATCACCTCTACTTTCTCTGTATTTTCCTCAATACTGGCCTCAAACTATGGAGGAAGAAAAAAAGAGGTTGCAAAACTGGAAGGGACCACTACAGTACAACAACATAACTGTGTGGATTTAAACATAGTGAAGATATTTTCTTACTGGGCCTTCCAACACAGGTACATTATCGTTGACGTCATTGATCCTGATGGTGACCGTCCCTGTGGCGGCATTGCCACCTGCAGCTCCATTCAGGTCAGATGCTTTGACAAGCAGGACATACTGATCAACGGTCTGAAGAGAGAGATGGCGTGTGAATAAAAAGGTGGAATCGTCTACATACTGCTCATTATGCTCAACAAAAGCAGTCATTGTGTCTTTATATGTTCCTGCATTACTCATTTAAAATGAAACAATAACAGAACATCTAGCACTGGCACAATGAAGCTCATATGTGCTGTAACTGAAGAAGAGCCAGTGCTGTGTGTGTGTGTGTGTGTGTGTTATGTAGCATGTTAGATATCAGAAACACATTGGATACAGTGATGGTGGTTTCTCACCTCTCTATCCAGGTTAGAACTGACAACACGGACTGTGCCGTCACTGTCAACTCTGAACATCCTCTCCCCAGCTGGCTGCTGCTCAACAATCTCATACTTGATTTGAGAGTTTGGGTTTCCAGGCTCATCGGCATCAAAGCAATTAATCTTCATCACTTCTGTGTCTGTATCAAATAAGAGTGCCCACGATAAATGAAAGGAAAAAATATTTCGAAAAATTGACTTTAAAACATGTGATTCTAAGTTCTTAGAAATGCACTCTTTATATTTATGTTGGTTTCTTAAAGTAAAAAAAAAACTTTTTAATAGCATTTTAATACTGTAATACATTTCAAATGGTGTAACCGTCAAGTACAAAGTAATAACATTTTCTCAGACCTTGAATACATGTGAATGTAAACACCTTTATCATTATTTTTAAATAGTTTTTAATTATACACTACTGTGTATAATGAATACTTTTAAACAGCACAGATGCATTAAACCATTCTTTGACCAAATGTGACATTAAAGACATTTTCTTTAATATTTCTACATACAATAGAAATACATATTTCTATTTCAAATAAATGTTGTTCTTTTGAACTTTCTATTCATCAAAGAATCCTGAAAAAAAAAATATATATATCACCATTTCCACAAAAATATTAAGCAGCACAACTGTTTTCAACATTGATAATAATAAGAAAATATTTCTTGTAATAATATTTTTATAATATTACTTTTTATACTAAATTTTTACCGAATAAATGCTTTGGTGAACATAAGAAACTTCTTTCAAAATCATTTAAAAATCTTACAGACCCCACATTTTCTGAGCTACTGTAGTGAATTATTCATTCATAAATATCATTACATTTTTGGGGAGTTGCACCACATTTTACAACTAACCTTATATTACCAAATATCCATAATATATAAAGTGCAGCTGATTTTTCTCCCCTAATTAATTTCTTATTAAATTACTGTTAAATAATAATACAATATTATTAAATAATAAGAATAAGGTAAACATTATTTATTACATTTTTATATTATTATATAATTTATAATTAAAACTACTTTATAAAAAAGAAATGAATTATAATACAGAAAAGTATACTGCATATCAAAATTAGCATATGAATACATTTTAAATTAACAGATTAATTAATTAAAAGATCCAGGACAAAAAAAAGGGTTTGAACCAATAACCCACATGCGGAATTTGATCATTATAAAAATCACCATTATGTTTATTGTACAAACTTCGTCAACTTTTTTTTAATATATATATATATATATATATATATACCTGTAACAACTGCAGATCACATACCTTCTGGACTGAGCTCGTCTACAGCCCCGGGATTCATCGGACCAAAAACAGGCGGATTATCATTCTGATCCTTCACTTTTATTCTCAGCCCAATGTCATTTTCTGCAATCATGCCATCTGTGAACGTAGCAATGCCTGAAAGCTACAGAGGAATAAATTCAAGATCACCATCCATCATAATCAAGTGTAGGTGTTAAAGCCACCTTCATCACCATCATCATCATGAATCATCATTGTCATCACAGCCATTTCACTTACATTGTATTGTGCGATGGACTCTCTGTTAAGGAGCCCCGTTATCCTGACATATCCATTTTCAGGATTCACCACAAATAAATTGAACGGCTGCTGGTCTGCACCGACGCCCTTCAGTGAGTACCTCACATTTTTCAGTTTGACGTCTTCCTTATCTGAGCGAATCTAAATAAATCAGAAACACATTTATTTAACACAAAAACCGATCAAGCCTACAGTGACCTGACACATGAGGCATTGTAAATCTCAAATGCTTACTTTAGTTGATGATATTGTTGCACTGTATGTCACACATGCGATGTAGTGAGTTCATCAGCTACTTTTGCAATAATGATACTGCAGACATCAGTTTTATATACAAAGTTTGAATTACAAGAAGCTAAAGTTGTCATTTCCGTGTATATTCTACATGTAATTTATATGCAATTTCTATGCATAACATACATTTAAAGGAACAGCTCACCCAAAAATGAAAACTTGCAGAAAATGTACTCTGTCAAAGATGAGATTTGGACAAATTTTAATGTCACTTGCCTACCAATGGATCCTCTGCAGTGAATGGTTGCCGTCAGAATGAGAGTTCAAACAGCTCATAAAAACATCACAATAATCTACAACTAATCCACATGACTCCAGTCCATCAGTTAATGAATTGTGAAGTGAAAAGTTTGTTGTTTGTAAGAAACTGTCTTCTTCTGGCTAAAATACTATAATTGATAATCCATAAGAATGCTTCTGTCAAGACACCGGTCTGATCTGGGTTTGTTTATGTTGTGTCCAGGGGTGTATTCCAGAAAGCACGGTGAAACTTACCGTCAGCTAAACCCTGAACTTTCGGTTGATTAACCCCAAACCTTGCTTACTCGAGGTATGTGGTTCCAAAAACGTGTCCCGGAGTAAATTCATTCAACTCAGAGTATGTTCCTGGTTAAGACCATAGACTGTAAAAAAAGACTCAAGACATTCTCAACAGAGCGACGAATCGACGAGTCACTATGGAAACGGACGCTAAGAAAAAGCATGCCATGCTGTTTCTTTCTTCTTCTTTTGTTCAATGGTCGTTTACATGCTTAGTGCATATGATGGTTGTGCAATCATTTGTATTTTTTTATTCGTTTAATCTTTAATCCTTGAGAATATAAATGATATTGCTGTTGTATCAATGAAAATTTCAAATAAGTCATTTGTGTCAACACATATTGAAACATTCAAAAAATAAAGTAATTTGTGTGAAAGCATATTGCTGATTATTGCCATATAATTAACTTAGTTAATGGTACGTGTTTGTGGTCACAGTTTCATTCGCTGTCTTCTTCTGGCTAAAATACTATAATTGATAATCCATAAGAATGCTTCTGTCAAGACACCGGTCTGATCTGGGTTTGTTTATGTTGTGTCCAGGGGTGTATTCCAGAAAGCACGGTGAAACTTACCGTCAGCTAAACCCTGAACTTTCGGTTGATTAACCCCAAACCTTGCTTACTCGAGGTATGTGGTTCCAAAAACGTGTCCCGGAGTAAATTCATTCAACTCAGAGTATGTTCCTGGTTAAGACCATAGACTGTAAAAAAAGACTCAAGACATTCTCAACAGAGCGACGAATCGACGAGTCACTATGGAAACGGACGCTAAGAAAAAGCATGCCATGCTGTTTCTTTCTTCTTCTTTTGTTCAATGGTCGTTTACATGCTTAGTGCATATGATGGTTGTGCAATCATTTGTATTTTTTTATTCGTTTAATCTTTAATCCTTGAGAATATAAATGATATTGCTTGTTTGATGCTAATTATATATTAAGTCATATCAGATATGTATTTTGATTTAGAATTTAGACATTATAGAAAATGCCGATCCATGTGTGAGATGATAATCTAAAATGTAATAAATAAATATATATAATATAATAAATTAAACATTAACCTGTCATAGTGTTTTATAATTTATACAGATAACTGTTATATATGGCAATAAAATAAATATAATAACCATATTAGAATAATATATTGACTTATTTATTACTTATATTAGCGCATTCTTCATTAACATATCATACAATATATATAAATATAAATAAATATAATAGACTATATTACATATTGTAATATTATATAATGTTGCGCTATCGGTCACGCCCACTGAAGGCTCGTCAGTAGATCACACGTGCACTGAAGTGAACTAACCCTGGAACATAACCTGCTCCGGAGCAGTTTATCTTCAGAGAGCAAGTTACTATCGTTACTTACATACCCTGAAAGTAACCTCCGATTTTGGAACCGCTTATCCTCAAACATACCCCGGGTATGTCACATAACATGCTTTTTGGAATACCCCCCTGGTCTGTCTGGAGCACATGGCTGTCAGTTGGTATTTGTGTTTGTCTTGTGCTCTATTTCTATTGTTACCCTGCCCCTCTTTTTACGTGATTATCTTGTTAGGGTTAACACCTGTTTTAGATCATTAGTCTCCCTTTATATTCTCCTCTTGTTTTCGGTCCTGTGCCGGATTGAATCTCTGATCTGCTGAGTTAACCTGGCTTTTGTCTCTGTTGACTGTGTCTAGTCTAGTCTAGTCTAGTCTAGTGATGCAAAGTCCGATTCATTTCCGCGAACCGGTTCTTTTCTGACAGATCAGCTCATTGAACCGGTTCAAAAAGCCGATTCATCGGTTCCTGACGTCATCAAGAAATAACGTCTCTACGCATTTCTTTTCTAATAAGTCAGTGCCATGTTGTATCAATGAAAATTTCAAATAAGTCATTTGTGTCAACACATATTGAAACATTCAAAAAATAAAGTAATTTGTGTGAAAGCATATTGCTGATTATTGCCATATAATTAACTTAGTTAATGGTACGTGTTTGTGGTCACAGTTTCATTCGCGGATCCTTATGTCGGATATGACTGACTGACCAATATTGACTAGCCTACAACTTGGATAAGATTCCTAAAAGTTTCACACCTACAGCACACATTACAGACATTGATGCACAAACGTGGATATGTTCTACATGTCTACAGTATAAAGAATGAATAAACCAGTCTTATAAACTCCTTGATTTCGCTTAAGCAACTTTAAATATAATATGCATGCATAAAATGTATTCACATCACTCGACAGAAAGGTTTTTGCAGGTTTTTTAAAAATGTAAATTAATAACAGTCATAATAAGCATATTTCCAGTACGCGCCTCAGGCTTGCACAGGATCGTCAACTCACTCATCAGAATCTTCGGTACTCCTTGGCAATCTTCGCCACGGCTCATTCGGTTCTTGTTGAGTCCTCGGTAATCCTCGGCAAACTTCGACAGTTGGTTGAACCGGCTCAATCGGTTCTTTTTGAGTTGGATGTGCTACTTTGGCTGTGCGTTCTGCATCATCAACCCGGAACTAAAGTTCAATTCAGTTCGATTTGTGAACCGGTTCGACCGGTTACTTCCTGAGAACCGGCTCAAAAGAACGATTTGTTCAAGAACCGAACATTCCTAGTCTAGTCTAGTCTAGTCTAATCTCCTTTGCATTTATTTTATACTTTTTGATATTAGGGTTTTTCCTTTTTGCTTTAGTTCTGTGCTATCTAGTTCCTCGTTTTCTGAGATCCTGCCTTTTAGTTTAGTTTAGTTTTTGTTTTTCCCCTTCCCCCTTTTGCTCCCCCTTCCCCACCGGCTCTGGCTGCTGGACTCCCTACTGCCTGCCACCTCCCTCCCATCCCTTGCTGCCCTGCTCAACCTGCTTCCCTGCCATTCCTGTTCCATCCATCCAGCTGCTCTGCTAATATCAGTCTTGTCCACCAACCTCAGAAGATTTCAGTTAAGTCAGCCAGGCTTCTGCCTTCACTCTCACTCTCTCTCCCACCGTTGCCATTCCCTGTGCCCTAGTGCTCACTGGAGAGCTTGTCTGTCTCGTTGCTCTTGAACTGTTGCTCTTTGCCATCTGAAACCCTTTTCCTAGACACCTCCTGCTGAGCTGATATTCACTTCCATGGACCTGGCTGGAATCTCTCCTGGTTACCCTCTCAGACAGTGGCTTAGTTCCTGAGTTCCTGTTTTGTGTTTGAAACTCAATAAATCTGTTATCCCTGCAAGTGATTCCTCTTTCTTTACCACCCTGACAGTTTCCTTCAATGAAAAGTTCATCCCCTCTTATCCTCTCACATCAATCCACCAATATATTTGATTAGAACTGTTTCGATCTGTGCATATTTATCTCCTGATTCAGATGAGACCACTTTTTAATGGAGAAAGCAATATTATGGAGATGACTTGAAGTTTAAAAACATTGTGATAAATTTGTTTATTACAAAAACTGCTTTTCGCTTCACAAGCCATTAATTCATTGGATTCATGTTGATTACTTGTGGATAATTTTGATGTTATCAGCTGTTTGGACTCTCATTCTGACGGCACCCATTCACAGCAGAAGATCTATTGACAAGCAAGTGACTTAAAGCTAAATTGCCTGCAAATCTGTTCTGACAAAGAAACAAACTCATCTTGGATGGCCTAGAGGTGAGTAAATCTAAAGTAAATTTTCACTTTTGGGTGAACTAGGCCTATTCCTATAGTTGTACTATAAACTGCAATTACATGAGATTTTATTTTTCCCTTTTAACTCCCTGGTGAAAAAGATGATGCCTTTTCTTTTTTACACTTTGATTGTGCATTAAGGTTGATGTTTGCATATCAATGTGTTTGACGCAGGAAAAGTCTCACTCACTTTTGCAATGAACTCTCTCTTGGTGTAATCCACATTCTCCTCTAAGATTTGGGGAGGGACGATCCATTCTCTCTTCTGCCTGTGGAGGGCCACAGAGTGCTGGAATCTGGCTTCAACCTCAAACACATGCTGTGGGAAAACAGAAATGCACATCAACAATTTGTGAAGACAGACTTATCCTGCCAACCTTCTCACACAGCAGAAAAAGGAGACCAAGAAATATTTGTTTTTATATTTGCTACCCAGCCTGTTGAGAACGTTCTCATTAGCAGGATTTGTAAATGATTCACTGGTGAGTCATTATAAATGATCGAAACTGCGATTGCAACTTGCACGCAAGCATAGTTGACACTAAGCTCATCCTGTCTGTAAAATTAAACAGATGCTGTAATTTATATGAAATGAAATGAAAGTGAAACCTGAAAAGATTTGCAACCACAGAAAAAATCCCTATACAGGAGTCGAGAAAAGAAAGAAAACCTTGCACTATCACAAATATGTCTTAGTAAAGTGGCTTCTTTACTTTCTTCTACAGTGCATTTCTGAATTGTAACTACAGAAACTTTGCACAGTACTTCTACAAGTGTTTATAGAGATACATGGAGATTTCACATTTTGTGTAGTAATTACATAAGGTTTGATACATGCATTAGGTTGTTTTACGTAAACTGAAGGCCCAATGATCGTCGTATAAATAAGTAGAACCTTTACATTTGTGAAGTGGAAATAGTAGGTATTAAAAACTGTGATAAAATGTGTGATTCACTTTCTCATACACACTCTGTGTATGAAACATGTATGGGTATAATGTATGCAAAAAATATTAAAACCGAAAGCCAAAACAACCAAGACTGTGAGCTATTGGCACATCTACCCAGCACATACTGATAAAAGCAGTAAAATACTCCTTCACTGGGATTCTCCAGTGTAAACTATTCCAGGTAAAGTGATTTTCACTCATTTAGTAGATCACAATCATTTAGTAACCATTTGAATCGACTGTTGCTCGGTGACTCATCTTCATTAGAATTTGAAGAATTATTACTGAGAAATGTCAATCATTGAGGTGGCAGGGGGCGGGGATTTCAACACACCTGAAATTGAATAGAATAGGCTATACTTTCTCACACAACACTTGCAGATCCAGCTTGACTGCTTTAGTTTGTCTGTCTGTATTCTAGACAGAGCCTGTTCTGAAATAACCTTAACGAAAATACACCACGGTAAACAGTGGAAGTTCCCAACAAAATACTACAATTACGATGATAACACCATAATAAGGATCTCCAGACCAATGTAAAAAACAAAAAAAACGTTAATATATTATTAATATTTATCTCCTGATTGACAATATCACCAACAATAATATAATAGCCTATTATAATACTGTATATTTAATATTATGTGTAATAACTTATAAATAACGTATAGCCTACAGGCTACACTGTAAACAATAGATAGATAGATAGATAGATAGATAGATAGATAGATAGATAGATAGATAGATAGATAGATAGATAGATAACCCACTAAAAACTAAATTGTTGTCTTAGCACTGAGAATTGATTTGCATTTTATTCAAGGCTTTGAACTTAACCACTGATTAAACTGATTAAACAGAACTGAATCTCTGAAAACTAAAATCAACTTTGACAGAAATGATTGTGAAAAGTTTAATAGATGGCCAAAAAGATGCAACATTTGATAGACAGAAATGTAACATGTAATGTAACATTTTTACCAAGTCTCTTCTTTTTTTTTTACATTTAGCTGCCATTGTAAATTCATATTATAATACTGTATATTTAATATTATGTGTAATAACTTATAAATAACGTATAGCCTACAGGCTACACTGTAAACAATAGATAGATAGATAGATAGATAGATAGATAGATAGATAGATAGATAGATAGATAACCCACTAAAAACTAAATTGTTGTCTTAGCACTGAGAATTGATTTGCATTTTATTCAAGGCTTTGAACTTAACCACTGATTAAACTGATTAAACAGAACTGAATCTCTGAAAACTAAAATCAACCTTGACAGAAATGATTGTGAAAAGTTTAATAGATGGCCAAAAAGATGCAACATTTGATAGACAGAAATGTAACATGTAATGTAACATTTTTACCATGTCTCTTCTTTTTTTTTTTACATTTAGCTGCCATTGTAAATTCCTGTAAAGGGTTGGACAATTGAGGCGATTGCCCTCCGGCATTTTAAGAGTTAAAGACAATACAAGGCTTTTTTCACACTAACTTTATAAACATAAATGTGGTTGCTTTACACATCGACAGTGCTATAAACAAACAGGCTGCCAAACAAGCAAACAAAAGCAGTTTCAGTTTTATGAGAGATTGTTTCGGTTTACAAAACGATACTTGGTCATACAGAAGAAAGACTCAAATGGAGTAGCTAGGCTATGTTAACGTGGATATCTATTGACTGATATATTTAAAAGCACGACAAACTTACCGATAGTCCAAAACAAAAGAGAAAAGCGACAGCAGTCGAGATACGCCGGGCCATGGCCGGAGGAACACACGGTATTTATTTCCTGGTCGCCTGAGATCCGCTGCTGTCACCAGCTGCTTATAGAAAGTTTAATAGATCCCGCTGCTGGAGAAGTGCGTCCCGATGCTGTTTGATGCGCGATAATGCGAATGAGATCGATCCGGAGCGCTTTACACTAACTCCTTATTCATTGTTTCTCCCACACCCTCACCTTTCGGGTTAAAAGGAGGACCCAACGTCACAAAGATGGGTGTGTGTGTGTGTGTGTGTGTGTGTGTGAGAGAGAGAGAGAGAGAGAGAGCGAGATAGAGTGAAAGAGAGAAAGGGTTGGGGAATATATAATTTTCACAATTACATTTCATGTATCATAAGGGGTGGCAAGTGTTCTCACCCAGTAGTATTAACATATATCCACAAGACCCATTCTTAACCCTTTATGTGGTGTTCTATGAGTAATAAAACTTGGATCATTAAAAAAAAAAAAAGTATTATTATTAGATTAATATATTATATTATTAAAGTTAATCAATATGAAATTAAAAATAAATATTTAAATTAGTTATCTGTAACATTTTAAATATTATGTAAGATAAAGAATGTCTCCAAGTGTTAATAAATTGCATCGTGTCATCTTGAGCTAAATAAATACATTTTAATATATGATGGAACTTGGGCTATAGCTATGCTTTAAAAGGTGACATAAACAAACAGGCTGCCAAACAAGCAAACAACAGCAGTTTCAGTTTTATGAGAGATTGTTTCGGTTGATCATGTTTTCGGACAGGTGAAAGGGTTGACAGTTTTATATTTCAGGATTTCACCGTAATGTTTTTAGTAGAAGGTGAATCTAACGCTGATATTTCTATAAATATCAAGTTTTCAAAAATCAATTGGTAAATGTCAGTGCTTTAACTGTTTCTTATACTGGCAGACATACATAATAAACAATGAACAACATATAAAATAAAGTGATAGAAGAGGAAAAATGTACTTGTTTTGAAAAGTTCAAAAAAGAGTTGTTTTTTATTTATGGGTTTCTGCACAATTTGAACAAAGGTTTTAATGTGTTTATGTATGCATGAAACCCTAAATAAATGTATAAACACACAGTATACACACACGTATTTGCTAATCAAGAAGTTGGAGACACAGGTCTGGGTCAAAAGGCCAAAAATGTGTCCTCATGGGGAAAGACGGGCAAACATAATACTGAAAAGGAACACTTTTTTTTTTGACGTTCTAAAATACCTTTAAAAACACATAGTATCACTATTGAAGTCACATAAGTGACACAAAAGGTATATGCTTTTGTAAATATGCATGCTTCTATTGCTCATTGACAGTGTGATGCTGTATGCTCTCACATGAATGTTTTGACACCACCAGTTTTATGCTTGTTTAATGGAAATAATACATCCTAAAATGATTCTGAGATCATTCATTTTTAAATCACACAAAAACCTCCGAGCAATCATGTGTAGTTTTGCTAAAAGCTATTGTGCTGGCCTAGAGATTAACTTCATTAGCAGATCAGAAGCCATGCTCTTTGAGGTGCTCTTCTTTAGAATTAATATGAATCACATTTAGTATAAACGGATTCCTCCGAAGCTCACACCTTAACATGTGCTTATTAAAAGTTGGTCATATTCAAAACAGCTTAACCGAAACATGTCTGAGGGTTTGCCCAACTAAACAACTAATCAGCAAATATTTTTCTATTGACTTTTATTTGTAATGGACGTGTGATTGTATGCTAAATTATTTCTGGAACTAGTTTTGATCAATAGTTTTGCATGTGAATTTCATGTACACACTTATTTGGCTGCGATAAGACTCCCAAACATATTCCGATGTACTCTGTGACGCAACTTCAGTGGAAAGGAGAGAGTGTTTTGAGGGAAGGTGAAGTCATGGAATGGCTGCTTGCTTTAAAGGAGGTGTAAGAAAAGAGTGAGAAAAAAAACTAGATTGGGCGAGACAACTTTAGCTGTTTATTATGCCGATCTGTCTCTTTCACTTACTCACTCCCACTCAGTTTCTCGTACTTAATTGTTCACTTTGCTGACTGTCTCAATTTGAAAAATACAATCAAATAAATCCAAATCATTGTGTCATTAAGAATGAGCACAATACTTCAGCATTAAGTATGCTTTTCTAGATGTTAATAAGGCCTTGGGGTCTCTCAGATTGGAAATAGAATATGAGAGCTAAGAAAATTCAAAGGGTGTTTCAGAGGCCCTTTAGAGAAGCTCTCAATAGCACTGTCTGAGCCGCCATAAATCTGTTTCTCAGACACAACTGCTGAACAAAGACACTGAAAGAGAGGAGAAATAAAGAGAGATTCCACGATGTTTACTGCAGGTCAAACATTCTCTAGAAACGTTCATGCGAAAACAGAAATAGACTCGATTTTGATTAGATATATAGTGGATTTTGTACACTGAAAAAAAGAAATAAAATTTCACTCAGAAGTACATTTCACAATTAATTACATAGAAACAGCAAGGAACACCATGAATTAAATGTTACATTTTAAAGCAAGACTGAAATAGTATTTTCGCATAAAATGTACTACAATAATCCTTGAAAATAATTACAGTGTAATAAAATAAAATCTTCAATAAATAAATCTTAAAATTCTTAAAACAAGATAAATTTATGTGAGAAGCAAAATTACGTAAGATACTGAGGATTTTTAAAGAAAATATATCTTAAATTATTGAAATTTTTCTTACTGGCATTGTTAAATAATAAAAAGAAACACAATTTCACTCATAAGTTCCTAGTAAATTTCACAATGTACTACATAGAAACACTAAGGAACAGCATGAATTAAATGTTACATTTTAAAGTAGCAAGACTGAAATAGTATTGGTAACACTTTACAATAAGGTTCATTAGTTAACATTAGTTAACTACTTTAGTTAACATGAACTAAGCATGAACAATATTTCTACAGCATTTATTAATCTTAGTTCATGTTAATTTCATCATTTACTATGCATTATTAAAATCAAAAGTTGTGCTTGTTAACATTAGTTAATGCACTGTGAATTACCATGAACTAACAATGAACGACTGTATTTTCATTAACTAACATTAACAAAGATTAATACATTTTGTAATAAATATATTGTTCGTTGTTTGTTCATGATAGTTAATACATTAACTAACATTAACTAATGGAACCTTATTGTAAAGTGTTACCATAGTATTTTCTCATAAGATGTACTACAATAATCCTTTATTTTACTTAAAAAAACATTTACAGTGTAATAAAATAAAATATTAAATGTTTTATTTGCATTTCAATAAATAAATCTTAAGATTCTTAAAACAAGATACATTTACTTGAGAAGCAAAATTATGTAAGATACTGAGACTTTTACAAGAAAATACATTTAGAATTATTTTCATTTTTCTTACTGGCATTGTTAAATAATAAAAAAGAAATAATATTTCTCAGAAATTACTTGTAAATTGCATAATTACAACAGAAACAGCAAAACAAACGGTATTTAAATATTAAATCATATTTAAATATGACATTTTAAAGTTATTTAAAAAATATTTTTCTTATAAAATGTGCTCCAATAGTTATTTTTTTTATTTAAAACTTCAAAAGAAAATACTTTTTTTTTCAGTAAAAAACAGCAGGTTCTTAAAACAAGACACATTTACTCATGTACTTAAGAAAATACATCGTATTATTATTTTTTGTTACTGGTACTGTTTTACGCTCAATTTAGTGAGATTTAAACTTAAAACAGCACTTTGCCAATAGGATAAGAGAAGAAATGTAATTCAATATTTCATATTCTCTGAAAAATTCTTAATCCTTATACACAGTTTTTATCTTCTTTTATGAATGTTTGGATATTTTTGTGGTGTGTGTGTGTTAAATTTATCTGCTGGTATTCTTGGATGGAGAATGAGAATAGAGAGTACAGAAAACCAGTCGTGCAGGAAACTCCCTTGAGTTTGGATGGTAAACAGTCACATGTCTGTATCTGTAGACGCCGCATGCACCTGTCACCTGTGCACAATGATTGTATGACTCATGGTGAAATCAGTGAGAGAGATTGGGAGTGTCTGGCTGGCTAAGGCAGGGTGTGTTTGAGGGAAGGGTTGTACAGGCAACGCCCAAGTTTTCCGCGCTCACATGGCAAACCACCTAACCTATAGGATGCAGTCCTACTCATAAAATAGTCGTGTGCAGTGCTGAGATGGTATATCTGTGTGCTCATATTTAATTTGCAGTTGTGGAGGCACACATCTTTCACACCCCACTTATGTATGTTGGCCAAAATGTTTTAAGTTACAGTAATAGTCCCAGGTTAGTTTCAGTGTTTTTTATGTATCACTGAGATACAAGTTATTATCACTGAGATTTTTGTTATTAATTTAAATTAAATTTTATTTTATTTTATTTTATTTTAGGGCTCTGGTTAGGGTTAGAGTACAGGTTAAGATTAAGTGTGCTGCTAAACTTATGCTAAGGAAACACTTAGGGGTGTGCAAGTAGTGCGACAAGGTATTACGCATACTTTTGTAAGGGCTGGGTTAGGTTAGTTTATGTTAGGTTAGGTTGTAGATTTTCATTTCCTTGAAATCTCTACCAGTTTACTTATTCTGAGAAGAGGGTGAGCATGACATATTTCAGTCTTCTTCTTCAGTATGGCAGGGTTTGCATGGTTAGGATTAGTTTAGGTAGTGTAGACTTTCACAGAATTGTGCAGAAGTGAAAAAATTAGATGCCTTTTCATTCATAAGTGTGATTTGAACCATATATTGGCCACACCCTACAGGAAGCTTTGGAATTAATTGGAATGACAGGAAGAGGGATTAGTGAATTGTAATTCAAAGAAATTTAACACACGTGGTGCACTTGTTTCCTCGCAGTTGTGAGTTTGTATCTCACAGTCTGATATAACCTCAGAACTGCAAGATATATGATGTTATTGTGAGATATAAACTTGCAAATCTGAGAAGAATTGTGTGAATTGCGAGTAGGGCTGGACAAAAATTCAATATCAATGTATCGCGATATAATTTTTTTCAATAACGGTGATATGATTTT